ACATTCTTTTTATCGCATATACGGATTCTAGTCTAAATTCTTCTAAATCAATTTCATTTAAATTGTAGGTCATTGGGCCTCCTAGTAAAATGTGAATAACTGAATAGTCAGGCAGTGAATGCAGATATGAACTGAGTTCAATACTTGAAATGCAGGCAATTATACACCATAAATTGTCACGAAGATTTTCTGTTAGAGAACAATGCAGAATCACATGAGATACAAAATCGGTGTAGAAATAGCCACAATGATGAAATAAAAGTTGTAAGCTACTTACACGAAACGATACAAACGATATATCCGATATTGTCAAGAAAATTTGGGTGACGCAAGGCTAATTCCATAAATTATGAGGTTTTAGACAGTCATGTAGCAATAAAAATCGTGTAAAATCTGTGTCATTAAACATTCTTTGCATCCATGTACTAGTTTTATAGTTTGTTACGGATTTATAAATCAATGACTTCCAATACATTTTATTTGGAAAAACACCATCATCTAGAAATTGTATAATGTATTCGTAAAGATTACACTTCTTTAGTAATCTGACAATGTCTGGTATATAACCTTTTTGACTATAATTAATAACTGTATACATAAAATACCTCAAAATGAATACTCTGCAGATTAAGTTAATTCTTTTCATTCTGCTGATCCTGCCTAAAAACAAAAGCTTTTTTTTATATCGATATACGCCTCTATAGAAAACCATCCGATTAAAGAAGTATATATATCAGTTCTTGTTTTTTTCCGAAACATTGGATCGACTTAACAATAAAATGTTGGGCTCTCTCTAACATCAATAACTCAGTATTTGAAAGTACCCAGAGTTCACAACCGTAAAGCGCAGACGGAAAGACTTTAATTTTTACAATTTTAGCAACAGTTAATGGGTTTAGTGCGCATTGATGTGCCCCAGAACGTAACAGGGTCATAATACCACTTTTTCATTTTTTACACGCTTGTTCCGTTTTTTCAATGGAATTGTGCTTACCATTCAATAAGATACCTACATGAGTAATTTCTGAAACGACAGGCAATATATTATCATAAAGACGTACAGTACAGTTAATGTTTATGATTAAAATCGCCACCTCCGACTGTATGCTTCACAAATAGTTAGCATTTTATTTAGACTTGTAATATTTGTACTAACCAAACATATATCGTCTGCTTGAGTTGGAACATTTACAGTTTTATCGATTATCATTGCGCCCCTACCGCAGTTTTCAACTTCATTCAACAAGTCATTAATAAAAACTAAGTACATTTTGGCAAAGAGAGCCGCGCCTTGTAAGATACCTTGCTCCATCATTAATGGTGCGGAGGTTAAACCATTAAAAAATAATATAACTGTGTATATCCGTGTACATAAAATTTAAAATATTCCACACTTTACCAGTAAGGCCAATATCATACAATTTTACTAGTAGACCGTCGTGCCAAACGGTATCAAACGCCTTAGCGCTATCTAAAAACGACACATATACATCTGAACCATTTTCCATATTATAATATACACATTCCTGCAAATTAAACGCAGTACAAAGACTACCTAGATTCTTCTGATATGCTGATGGTGCTTATTTAGGAATATATCAGACTCTATTATATTGTTAATTATCTTTGCAATAGCCATTTCAAACATTTTAAAAAGTACTGGCAAGAGGGCTATTCCCATATAACTGTTAGGATCATCTTTCGGCTTTCTGCGACCCTTATATAGAGTTACTATAATTCCCTGTTTCCAGTTTCTTGGAATATATTCTTGTTTAACAACAAGATTGAATAAATTCGGTATATGGTAAATTATAGAGTTTCCTGCATATTTAATATGTTCATATACCAGACCTTCATGTTCGCCTGCTTTATTTGACTTCAGGGTTTGCAAATTAGATTGATTTCACTAGAAGTAAAAATATTATATAAAAACAATTCTTCATCAGAATGAATACTAGATTTTAACATTTTGATTCTGTTTTCAATCTCGTCGCGAAAATGACAGTCAAATTCTTAAGCATCGTGTTTTTTTAAATATATTTTGAAAGTGTAGAGACCAACCTTTTATGATATCATGGGGATCTCTGAAAAGTTTCCCTTCATATTTCAGCTCAGTTTGTTTCGCCTTCGAGGCTGACAATTGTATTGAGTGCAAATATTTTCACGATCTGCGGGATTTTGCTTCAAACATTTTTGTAAAATTTGGTTAATGCATTAACATAAGAATACTGTCAAGACCATATTTAAATGTGAATTAGAGAATATGTAACTAGTTTATTGCAGTAAAAAATCCAATATGCTCAGCTCATTTCTACACAAATAAGATGATTGACAGGGAAATACACAACATATGGGAATGCAATAGTGTACATAAGTACACTGTAATTCAAAAGCCTGGTCAATAAATGCCGATAGCTTGGTTGATGTGATAAGAGTTGATATGACCAACACAAAGGCTGGGCTATCGGGATGATTGATCAGGTTAGAGGGAACAGAATAAACATACGTATGCAATACATTGAGTTTCACACTTTCAAAAGAAAATCACAAGAACATAGATGATTGATCTAAATTAAGAAAAGATAAAAATTACTATGTCAATTTAAATCAAGAAGCACCTCGATGAGAACAAAAATAAAATAAAAACATTTCAGCAAAAGAAGTGCAATACCTTTTTAAGTATACGCTGATGTAAAATCATATTATTGAAATGTTAAAAAAGAACAAACAAAATGAACCTGTTCCAAATTGGAATGTAAGCGTGCGTTTGTTTGTATGTTAATGTAAATTTGTGTGTGTATATATATGTGTGTGTGTGTGTATTTGTGTGTACGTATAGTTTTTGTGTATGTAAGTAAGCAGTATATATGAGTATGAACCTGTTTATCAACGCATGTAAATGTAGGTATACATATTGATATAGTTCTGTCTTGATTGTTTGCCTTGTCTACCTGTACCAAATCAAGAGATAAGGGACGAGTCAATATGTATTACCAGGATACGACGGATAATGAAACTGTTACTAAAAATATTACATGTCCTATGTCCTTAATACAATAACAAAAATATACGTGTTTCATGCCAGCAGTTGTATTAACAAAACGTCAATGTCCCATTACAAGAGAATATAAAATTGCCATAAAGAAAAGTTATCTCAACATAAAAAGGGTTTATTTACAAGTATGCTTAAATATTTGGAAAGTATTGAAAACATATGATTATCAAGTATTTCAACACGTTCCGTATCTGACACATATTCTTCTGTATTATGTGTGATGACTAATATGACTTACTAAGTGTTAAGGTATGAAAACAATGATCCACATACATTTTTTTATACTTGTCAATGCATATAAAAAATATAATACACTTAATGAAAACATTTGAAAAAGGGTATTCGTCTCGTGAATATATATTTTTACAGAATTTTACAGTTTGTCCCCTAAGGTTGAGGGAAAGTGTTTAGCCATGTACCCATTGGTACCTGTCTCATCCTTGTAATATATACTTCATGACATCTATAAATAATGCCGAGATGCAAACAAATATCTTTTATTGAAATTTTGAATATTGACATGTGTGCAATAAACTTCTGTTGATGAACAATTACTTCTAAGGGGATTCAATAAGTTTCAACACGGACTTTTAATCTTATTCATTGGTGTCATAGTGTGGTAAGACGTTACCCGGCGGCCCCTCTCTTGGAGCCCCCCTTTGCAAATTTGCATCTCGGTCAGACCACCTGTGATTACTGTCTCGTTTCAAACCGTCACGTGACATTATCGGTAATATTTTTAACAGGGCTTTCCCGAACAATTCGAATTGGACATTTGGAACGGACCATGAATATGGGGATAGCAATGAAACATAATTGGCAGCTCAGACAACACGTACATTCAAAAAATGTAATATTGTGTTTACGGTATGTCCCTTTAAATTAATTAATCAATATTGTAATTAATGTTTTATATATTAGATCAAATTTAGAGCCACCTATGGAAAAAACATATATAGGCTTGCCTATCGAGGTTATATAATTATCATATTTATAAGTAATATCTTAACGAACTAGGTAATTTGTTAAATGAGCCTACACAGATCTCAAATAAAAACATTTTCACAATCCATAGCGCTATTCCGACCGGGCTCTCCTGTCCTACATTTGTGCAGAATATTTGGTAATCCAGTCCTTCGACACAGCACCCATTGTCCCATACTGCATAATCTACATAGTCCCCATTATTCTAAAGGAGATCAACGTGGTTCCATTGCCCACGTACATATCAGCAATATAGTCTCCATTTCCCTTATGCCCTCCACATAGTTTAGCCACAATGTACACTATGTAAAAAACATTTCTTTAAATAACCGGTAAAGCTTGACCTATTCAACAATCAATTATATCAAAATGTTATAGAATCAGTATATAAACAAATAGTAAGTAAATGACAAGGCCAGATAGATCTCAAAGTAAAAGAAAACAAGTGCCAATTACAATCACATGTCTTTCTTGAATATTCTTTTATACATGGTTTAAAGAATAAGAATGAGTGGTTTTTCGATACTCTACCTTTTTCCACATACACCATAAACATTGTCAATATGAATAAGTACTCATTGTTTATCAAAGTGATAAAATACATGAGTTTTTCTATATCCATTTAACAGGGTTTTTTAATCATCCGACTATTATTTATCTATGGAAAACTAGATTATATTATAATTTTACAAAATAAATATTTAAACGATTTCGAAAAGTTAAAATATAAGCCTTAACACACATAAAATTGAAGGAAACATAATAATTATAAACAATACTCCTTTTGTTTATTTGTTTTTCAGGATTTTTGGGAAAGTAGTCTTTATAAACTATAAAAATAATTTTATTTGATTTCAAACACCATCGATACGTTTCGTATGTTTTCAGATTTTTCAGATGATATATAGTAACGTATAATATGACAGACACACTCTGTTTTCCGTTGCATAAAAACTACTGATGGTGATTACCAGATTATACTATACCAATATTTCAGTCATTTTTACCTTATTTCTTATCTTTAATAGTGCTTGCTTATATGTATTACAAATTTGTTATGTTCCAAATAATTAACTACTATGTATTGAGTGTTAAATTTCAAAACATAAGACTTTGGTAATATACAACGACCAGTTATAACATGTCCACGAATATTTACACAAAAAAGTCAATCATAAAGAACAAGGTACATTGTCCTCCCTGTCACAGTATCCCTCACATTCATCGGTGTTACTGACCTTGTACCTCAGCAACACGTTGCACAAACGCTCGTACATGAACCGGTTTCCATCGCACGTGATGTATAGGTCACCCCTGTGTGGATGATGGTAGGAACAAATCCCATTTCTACTTTCGCAAAAGGCTGTAATGAACAAAACCAATTATATAACTAATATAAAGATAACAATAATCATTATGTATCAAGTATAATATGATTATCTAACATGGATCTTCTTGAAATTTAAATTCAGTGAGCAATACAAGTATTTCATTATTTAGTCATACAGTTTTTATCATAGACAACTGGCTTATGCTCATAGTATTTGAAAGGATACAAATCAATCAAAATACTGTAGTAAGTCAGATGTTTGGAAATGTGTGTATGTTTGGGGGGGGGGGGGGGGGGGATAATGAAATGTCAGAGGTGAAAGGGACTATTTCCAGCTATGTTAAATTTACATAGGAGCCTGCCCCCTCATACATTTCCTTTCAGAATTGTGCTACGAGATTTATGCTGCTGTATTAACTTTTTCAATCCCTTATACATCCGATGTTATTCCTGTGAACCACCCTACTAAATATTTAGATGAATAATTAACCTAATTACAGCAAAGGGGTCGAAAAATGAAATAGCAGCCTGAATGAATTTTGGAAAAATTGTTTTCATCATTATACTTGGGAGAGAGTAATTTCTTCCATGGGATGCTGAAATGAAATATTTATCATCTAGAATGTGTGCATAATCTAACATTTTGTGAAAATATTACTGTAACATACAGGATTTTTCATTCTTATTATTCTTGTTTATCTAACATTTCATAGTATGAAGAAGTGGTGTCATTTAAAGTATGTATGCAAAAATTAAGTCAAACTAAAAAGTGGTGGAAAGTATTCATTTCGCACAATAAAGTACACTGTGTACCCAAAAAGGCGAGGACCTAATACACCTCCCTAGCGTCAACCAGAAAGCAATGCACCTGCTTACAGGTAATTGGTAATGAAATTCGTTGCAAGCCTAAATAAACCTTTTAGTACATGTTAGGTCACAAACAATTCCAAATTAGGATTTGCTTCATCCATTGGCGTGATTGATTAAGTTTTTGTAAACAAACAATTTTTACATCAAATGTAATATCCTGGTCACTTTTTAGAATTTGTTCTTATACATTTTGTTATCATTTTTTTATACATTGTATCATTAGAGTTTTCTTTTTACGTTGCTTTTAGGGGACATTCATACTCATTTGCTAATTTGTATCTAATAATGAAGAGTAAATGTATTTGTGAAGGTTGCTATCGTGTCTTCGAGAAATCTCGTAAATGTAAAGGTACAAGAAATGTGAAAAAATCCACAAAATAAATGGCTTTTGGATGAACTGACTAAAAGTGGCAAAGATTGCTCGAATGAAGATATTAGTATTTGTCCGAAGAGCTACATAAGGTATCTGCGCTGAAGAGAGTCTGAAACTGAACGTTTAGAAGATGAAACTACTAGAAGCTTTCCTCTCTTAACAATCAAGGACCTGTTTTTGCTGTTCCTGTTCACATTATACAATTGTTTCATGGCTATTTGGGGAACAGTCAAAACTATCATGATGGATGATAGTTTTGACTGTTCCCCAAATAACCATGAAACAAATGTTTTATTACCAAGTAAATATTAGTATCAATGCTGCATGCAATGTTGCCATTGCTTCAAAACTGAGTCGCGGTCACCAAAACGCTTGAACGGGGCTCTCGAGGGGGGATTTCTTCGCATCAAATTCGCGCCGGGTAACAGTTCACTCTGACCGGGAAAACAGTTTTGACTGTTTCACCCCTACAGGCGAAATTGGACAAAAGGCCAGAAACAGTCAAAAATGACTAATTATGATTTATATAGACTATTGGGTAATAAAAAAAAATGTTGTTTTTGTTTGAACAATTATAATTCGAAGAAAAACAAATCCACACTTCTGCCAAAACGTGCCCAGGCATCAATTTATTTTCATACACAAATTGTGGTGTTCTGCACCATCACGTGTATGCTCATTTTATCTTATTGGCAATGACCTGAACCCATGTACAGATGTTATCCTACAAGTAAGAGAGCCTTTGTTTTCTCAATTGTTAAGTAGGTCTTCTGAAATGATTGATAACCTTTCATTCTGTAGTACAAACATTGAATAAATCTATAGTTCCAATGTTTCTTGGTCCTGACCATTTGAGTAGGGAACGGATACTTTCACACAAAACTGTATTCTCATTAAATTCGCTGGAGAAAAAGTGACTGCCATACTAGATGGTACATATATTTATATTAAAACAAAGGAGCTGACCATAAGCTTCAGAGACTGTCTCACTGTGGCCAGAAGAAGAGAAATTATCTTACATTCATGAGCATAGCTCTACCTAATGGCTACATTTTGGACACAATAGGAGCATTCTCTTGAAGCTGAAATGATGCAAGCATCACGAAAAACATCATAGACAAGCTCACATGGTTGGAGCAAGACGAAAATGTAGTCGTTGATCGTAGTTTTAGAGATGTCATCCACCATGGCATACTTTATAAACGTCTGGAATACTCTTATGGAGTGACTGATTACCACACTATGCTGGATACAGTCATACCTGAGTGAACGACGACGGTGTGTTGCCATCGGATCTGCCACCTCACATGACAAAGTGAGGACCACGAAAATATTGTATGTCCTCCAAACCGATTGGAGAGATTTGTCGTCGCCATAGCCTTCGCTATCATTGCTATACTGATGACACACAAATTTACATGGTCATAAAACCACAGGACAGTTGGAATACAGTCTCAGAAAGTCTGGAAGCTTGTCTGACAGAAATCAGTATCTGGATGAACGCCATCATGCTTTAACTTAATTAGGAAAAGACGGAACTAATCGTCTTTTCCCCAAAGTGTCAGCAAACAATGGCTCTCCAGCTTAAGGTTGGTGCCAGAACTATTAAGACTGTTCCAGCTGTTAAAAACCTAGGGGTATACTTTGACAGTTCTCTGAACATGGAGAAACAAGTGAACGCGATTGCCTAATCCTGTTACTACCAGATCAGGAACATCGGCTGTATTCGGCAGTTTCTAACTGCAGTTGCATGCAAGATTTTGGTGCATTCACTTGTTACCTCTCGGTTGGATTATGGTAACGCCCTGCTCTCTGGTATATCTGACAAACTAAGTAGTCGTCTGCAGAGGGTTCAGAACACTGCAGCACGGCCAGTTACACGTACTCGAAAGAGAGAGCACATCACACCTGCGCGTTATTCGTTGCACTGGTTACCTGTACGATACAGGTCGCAGTACAAAATTCTGGTATACACATACAAGGCACTGAATGGAACAGCTCCTCAGTACCTACAGGAACTTGTTACCCTGTATCAGCCGTCAAGATCACTGCGGTCGGAGTCAGAATCTTTGTTGTGTGTCCCAAAATCTCGTACTGTGACCTACGGAACCGGTGTTTTGGGAGGGTTTCGGCTACGTTGTGGAATAGCTTACCATCTGCTATTAGGAAGTCGAATACCCTGGCCAAGTTCAAGAGAAACATAAAAACTCACCTCTTCACGTCTGCATTTTAGAATCTTTGCAAAGACGTCATGTAAATACCACCCTTTTATGTGTTCAATTATGTGCACATTGCTAGTTAAATATATAAAGGGATTGCAAGCCTTGCTGTTTGTTTTCACAATTATAACCATTACTATTATCCATATGTTGTAAAGCGCCTTAGAGTAATTTTACAAATTATATAGGGCGCTGTATAAATGCTTGATATTATTATTATTATTATTATTATTATGTCCTGTCGATGTTAGAGGCATCTGGTATTATTACCAGTATGCCCTCATATCTTACGCCTGGTCACAGCCAACACTCTGATCTACAGGTTAACAGTGACAGAACAATTTCGATGGATTGAAGTCTTATCATGGCCGCCTTAAGAATTGACATTTTTTAGAACTCAACTAACTCAACTAATATAAAATTGCTTCTTTTACAGAAGTGCTAAAGATTGTGACTGCATGTCTCAATACGATACGGGGACCAATTTATCAAAGATCACCAGAAACTGACAGAAAATACAGAGAACTCGCAAAACAGATGAAGTTTTGACTGATAAAAACAAACTGTTTGGCTCAGGGGGTGAAAATAGAACCAGCTCTCTCAAAGAGAGCAAAGTCAGAATTCGTAAAGATGGATGCATCTATATTTACTTTTCCAGAGCTCAATTTGGAATAGTTAAAGACTATAACGTGCGGCACCTACCAGTTATCAACACCTACCAGCTATCAACACCTACCAGTTATCCTTAGCTCCGTGCTATATCAGTGAACATCTTAGTGATGATGGAGATTGTGAAACATGGCTTTATATCAGCACTGAAAACATCATCCGTTTTCAGATTCGTTCCAGACACAAACGCCAGACTAAATATAATGTTTGGATTCAGTACAGCACGACACCAAATTATAGTTATCCAATAAGAATTACTACTACCAATGCCCAGTTGGTCAAATAACTAACTATGAGAATGCGTGTTCCTACTTCAAGTATACTTTGTTATCTTGGCTATCATAGCAATCTTTAAAATCCAGAACAGCAGCACCCCAGGGCTAGGAATAAAAAGCTTGAAATATATTGTTTTCTTGTGAATCTAGAATTACCAGTTTGAAGACAAACTCAACACCACGCAATATTTTTCTCTTCCTTCCTTTTTCCAAGCCTGTCATTCGAACACATTTCATAATATTGAATCTTACAAAACATTATCTGTAAATGTCATCAGCTGTTTAAAGTGCGTCTAACTTTAAAATATATATATAAACAAAGTAACAAACAAACACACAATCTCTGAGTTCCATTGATATCCCAAGAAAATTGTCTGGGAATCTGAAAACTGATTGCGCAGTAAAACTAATGTTTTGGTGGCCATCTTGAAGAGAAATAAACCAGCGAACCTTTAAAAACGCATTCTCTGTTGATTAGATAGTGATTCCATCCAAACTGGAACAAATACTTTTGTTTTTCTGTCAGTTTTCAGCCATAATCGTTAGACTATTCATATAGCCATGAATTCTGATGTATAGACCATATGGTCATTTGATCCCTTCTTTGAATATGGCCCACCACATATTTTTGATACATATTTTTGTATATAGTCCATCTATATACAAAAAAAGTTTGGTATCCATAGGTTATAAGATACTTCTATTCTAAAATGAACACATTGTTTGTCTAGAATATATCATTGCTTGAGATGGCTTCTGGCTGTTGATTTGTCTGTTATTATCTTATACCTACATGTAACCATAACAGCATGTATACTGGAGCATATAGTTTTGGTTGCACCATAAATTATCCTTTAGTGCATTGGTAGTTTGACAACATTTGTCTTTTGGGGAAAATCTCTGGCTTTTTGAGAATTTCAGTTTTATGCATCTATGAAAAACGAATCAAGTACTCATTTCAATTTTAATTGGTGTTTTTGTTGTGATAAAGTTTAGGTCTATACCTCACCAAAAGAAAATTGAAATCAAAGGAGGGGCAAATTTGGAGAGAAAAAAAACCTTTGAAATAAAGCAATTACAGATGCCAACACGATTATTGATATACATTCAAGAGCAAGTATTTTTTTTTAAACTTAGAACTTATAACCATCAAAGTTACCCGCTAATCAAAGACTGACATTAAATATAATGATAATCGAATGATCTTATTTCTGTTATATACATGTTCATGTTCTACTAATAGAAATAACGATAACAAATGTTATAATTTGTCTGTGCTTGGCTGCTTTGAGAACCATTTTTTTGTAGTGAAACGGCTGTCCTCATCCGTAACTACCTTGCAGCTGTCGTGCTTCAACATGATTTTGTTTTTATAATTTGATAAATTTCAAGGTATATAAAGTATAAAGATTTTAAAGTCAATATTTTTATTGTTATTGAAAATGGTGTAAACTGAACAACTCTTCTTTCTAAACAGCTTTCTTCTTACTAATGTCTCCCTTGACAATGCCCCTCTTTTAGCCATTAGTTGAGCGTTCGCCCCTGTGAGAAAGGCTTCGGGTTCTATCCCCTGACCGAGACATACCAATGTCTGTACAAATGGTAGTTTCTACTCCTGCTTAACGCTCAGAAATTTAAAAGTGGGACGACTTGTTCGCCCGTTGTCAGTATAATGTGACCGGGTGGGGTGTCTTCCTGGATGTCTTCGGCAGTATGTTTCAGTGAGGTAGCACTATAAAGTCGGCATCAGTTCCGCGCTATCACAAGGAGACAAACACGAACATATCGCGGCCTCCCAAAACACACACGCATACACTACACGCATGCATCTTGCACACAGGGGAGCTGTTGATAGGACGTTAAACAATACTAAATCAAACCAAACTGAATAAGTTAGTGTTTTCTACATATGCTATGAACGAAGTGCTACAAAAGTTGTCTCCCTAGTAATGTCAGTAACGGAGGTTACCACCAGACGTCGCAAGTTCCGTTCTTCCGCTGGAAGGAAATTATTTACATCACGTCCGAAAACTGATCTCAATACGGCATGCGTCATAATCGTCCCCGTAAAAACGTTTTTCTTTGTTGCTCTTGAACATGGAATAGGCTTTTGGTTATATTTGTTTATACACATACATGTATATGTTCATATCAATACACATGTCAATAATCAATTATACTTACATTCCTGGCAGGATTCTGGGTTTACACAACTCTTCACATCTCTGAACATCGTAGTATTCAATCCGCATTTCTCTCCGGTAAATTCGCCGTCACATGTCCTGTTCCTAGTCCGTATTCCGCTGCCACACGTAAAGCTGCACGCACTCCAGTCTCCCCAACTGTCGTAACATTTCCATATTTGGCAACCCTTTGTTTCTGATTTAGTCCCAATACATTCAATGCCGGTAGAGTTGTCACATATTCTTGTTCTGCCTGAAACACCCTCGCCACAAGACGCGGAACAGTCAGTCCACTCTGTCCAGGTACCCCAGACACCAGATGGGGGACAGGTCCCTTCACCACAAGATGACGATTCAAAGCAATGTCCATCACAGTCCAGGCCGAAGTGTTCAGGAGCAGGGTTATCACAAATCCTTGTTCGATTCTTAATACCACCACCGCAAGTTGTAGAACAGTCACTCCATGACTGCCAGGAACTCCAAATACCGTTAATTGGACAATTTATTATCATACACACTTCACTATCCGTATCAATACCGTCACATTTCTCACCACTAAACGCTGGAACAGGATTATCACATGTTCTGTTGCGGGTCTTTGTACCATTGTCACAAGATGCGGAACAGGAACTCCATGCCAACCATACACTCCAATTACCGTTAATTGGACAGTTTATTATCATACACACTTCACTATCCGTATCAATACCGTCACACTCCTCACCACCAAACGCTAGAACAGGATTATCACATGTTCTGTTGCGGGTCCTAGTACCATTGTCACAAGATGCGGAACAGGAACTCCATGCCAACCATACACTCCAATTTCCGTTAATTGGACAGTTTATTATCATACACTCTTCACTATCCGTATTAATACCGTAACATTCCTCACCACCAAATGCTGGAACAGGATTATCACATGTTCTGTTGCGGGTTCTAGTACCATTCCCACATGATGCGGAACAGGAACTCCATGCCATCCATACACTCCAATTTCCGTTCACAGAGCAGTTAGTGAGCTTGCAACTCTGGTTTTCTGAAGCCGAGCCTTCGCAGTTGTTTCCATCAAATGACGGAGGAGGGTTGTCGCAGGTTCTGTTTCGGATCATGACACAGTTTCCCCGGGAAGCAGAACAGTCACTCCATGTCTGCCACTCATTCCAGGTACTATTTCCATATTTCTGTGCACCTGTGGGAATGATTGTGGCAAGTACTGCTCTATTTTAGATGTATATATCAAAGAAGTAACGATTATATATTAAAACAAATATCGATATGAACGCAATACCAAAATTTGAAATACCCTTCTAGAAACACCTAAGATGTTATAGAAATTATATAAAGACAGTACTGAACATTAGTTTTGCACAAAGTTCCAATGACAAAAATGACTTTTTAGTGTTCATTTTACGATGTGTTCTTAATAGCAGACTCAAAAACTGAATATCAGCGTTCATATACCTGTTGTTGGCTTGAAAACTGTAAAGTAGAGTGTAGGCGCAATGAGTGCTGCAAGCAGGACTAAAAGTACCACTTTGAGGATAACAATTACCGCTCGATACGATCGGACTTTCTCCTGAAATAGACGATTCAACGATGCATTTGCCTAATTACACACAGTCTGCAGTTGCAAAAAAATGCCCTGCTTTGTGCAACTTTCTAAGATAATTTGCATACATTCAAATACAAAAATATTTGGTACTTTGTGTTGTTACATCTTTATCCTTGCACTTATTAAGGAAAAATAAATCAATAAAATAGTGTAAAGTACTCACCTGTGGTAACCTATCATCTAGATAGTCATAAATATGCTGATCCTGTAATACAATTATACATATCCTTTCAATCGGGACATTCTTTCACTCATGCGATATGATTATATATTTTGATGATTAAAACTATTACCAAAGTATGATATGTATTCGTGTCTGTTAATAGAAACTATAATAGGGATTATTTGGCAACGAAGTGTGGGGCACAGATGAGGAAATTAAGCCCTGTAACAGGGGGAACTTGCCCCACATTTGTCGATCAGAAGGCAGTTTTGACCCATCAAAATATCAGACAATTCAAAACAAACGTAAGGACTATTTGTTTATGCCTCAGGAGCCTTTACAACATTTCGTAGCATTTTTAAGAGTGACATTCATTCTTTTGACCACATTGTACCACTGATGAGTTCTGATTGGACAAATTGACCATGTGTGTTGTATTAATAAAGTTTTGCTATCTTTATTAACTATTTTATTTTATTCAGGGGGCTTCCTAATTGCGTATAGTCTTTTTATGAAGGTGTATCTCTTATAACAATGAAGAACCTTAATGTAATTAAGCATTGATGTATTTTAAGAACTTACGTTGGATTGTTCCACATCTCGAGACGAAACAGAACCAGTCTGTCAATGGAAGTAAAGAAACACATCATATATCTTTTGCTATTAAACCCTCACTCTTTCTCGTCCGCCATTTGATGACTTCAGTCTTAATATGTTTTTAACCTTTAGAGAAAAACATAGCACATTGGATGATATAATAAGACATACATGTAAGGATGTTTTTTGCATATTATGATTAGTAATGAAGAGCCACAATTGATTAACACAGAAATGATGAAAAACTGATATGATTTTAAACATAGGCATTGTGAAGTTGCACACTTTAAGTGATAAAGATTTGGAATCAGTTTGTAAGTTAAGGTGACCTTCCCATAATTTATCATTTTAATAAATCGTGATGAATCATAGTATACTTTCGACTATTACTTACATGTGTCTCCTACGTTTCAAATTTGCAAATGGATACAAGTATTCATAATTATTTATATTGATAAACAGCTTGGCAATTATTTTCAAATCTTGCTTAGACTTTAGTGCACGTTAATTTCCAAATGCATGTTGAATGCATGATGAAAACGGTATATAATACTTACGGTGAGAAGATTTACACCTCTAACAGAACAATAGGTAGAAGTATTCTATAAATTGAAAAAATATGAATATCAGTTATCAATCAATTTATGTCGTTGTTATCTTCTTTGGTTATGAAACAAAGACATAACATCGTACATGCACAATCACTGTTAACACATATAACTGACTTACTTATAGTGCCGTGGATAAGGTCGGTATTTTGTAACTTTATGTATCTCACGTTAAATGGCAACCATTGCCAAACATTTTTTTTATTCCGCTACGTAGTAAACCTATTATGGATATAAGATAATGCTGTTATATCCAATTATTTTGTAAAATGAGACAAACTATTAATTGCTTCATTGAAAAGCAATGCTTGTATAGCACGTTTATCGTTTAACTAGTTTCTGATACATGTTGAAGGGTAATATTATAAATTGTTTGTATAGCATTAAATCTAATAATTTCAGAACTTCCATGTGCATAATAATCAATATTTCTTTTGGTAATCAATCCATGACAAATTAAATAATTTTACATAAATGTTTGTGAAGGGAAAAGCGAAAGCGATTTTTTTAAATGCTATTTGTCGTTAGGTTTTGTTTTATCGCTGTATATGACAAGATACTCATTTTAAAAAACACACATCGGAAATGACAAATGCATATTATACTTACTGAGATTGTGTCTGATCTGATGGTATTGTACTGAAAAGGAAAACGTTGTTATGACCACATATTCAAAATATTTTTGTTTCATCTTAATCTAAAGATCAAATGCTCAATATTTTTAGCTTTTGATTTGATATATCAACAGGTATATTCAACAATGCTAATTAGACTGAATTTGTTTTAATACACATACAAGAAATGAAATATGGAAAAGATCATTTAAGGTTTTTTATCCTTGTAACAATTATAATCAGTCAATTCCATTTGATTATATTTATGCATTCCTGACATTCGTTCATAAATCAATCTCTGTCGGATGATTAATATTGTTCACTTAGTTGTCCGATTGTTCACGATTTTTCTGTCAACTCCTAAGATATGGTTTCTCTGTCAACCTTATGGTATGACAGATGGCACGCGGAAAAACAACAATAGCAACCAGGGAACAATACATTATAACGTCACAATCAGCTTTCAACGGAATATACATAAAAATGCTCAAAACAAAAATTAAAAAATATATTATTGATATGATTGGCAAAGAGGAATCATCCCTTTCGTTAAAGGCACTCCACAGATATATCACGCTTCGTGGTGAGAGATTTGAATGCCTGGCTCTTAGCTTTATACAATCCGCGGGTATTAAGCTGCGGGTTACACAGGCGGGAATATACAGCAAAATTGCATTTGAAACTCTAAAGGCACCTTCCTGTTTACATTTGATACCTTAAGTAGACGACACGGATATCTATAACGGTAAGATGTTATTGCGAAAATCGATATATTTTAACAACTGAAATATAAGTTTTATTGTTCATATCAATGCAATCACATACATCGAAATCATTTGTGCACTGACTGCAGGTAGTGTGTCTGGTCGTGAATTGATAAGCAGTGAGAATGGCCCCGTTTGGAACACAACGTAAACGGAAATGTTGGTGTCATACGCAGGTGGTGGTATGAAAACCTTAATCAATTGGGACAGGTCATCTAAATACAAAATGCCGTAGAGTATGTAGAGTAAAATAAATCAAAATATGCTATCTTTTGGTTGATTGTCGATTTGTTCTATATATTACTTATAGTTACTATTATAAATGCATCATACTTTTTATCAATATGGTCGTAGTCTATATCACCAACGTATATATTTAGGGCGGGTTTGGCATAAACACTTATAACTACTCAGAATCAGGTGGCATCAATAATCAGGCTTAAATGTTCATATTGGTGGTAGGATTAAACGCGGAATTCCAATTATGTATTTTAATGTTGTAAATTATGCTTTTTTACACATAGAAAATAAAGCGTGACTGGAAGGCAGGTGGGTAGCGGACAAACCATAATGTGTATACCCCGTTATCTGCAAAAAGCGAGGGACGAAAACAACAACGTTTTTGGGTTAGCGAAACATGTCGTTATCAAGAAATTTCTTTTATATCCCATCAAGATCTGCACATATGTGTAAAATGCTATTAAACGAAAACAATAAACGCAATGTCCTGTCGAATTACAAGCGCTTGGACGTGATTTACGAGAGATATGTAGGGTTTGGATGTACAATATGTGTTACAGATAAGGTTTCAATCAAATGGTGCATAACGGGTAGTACATATATTAGCAAATTATTTCAATATTAGGACATACCAGATGTTTGACGGGTACTACTTTGATTTTCAAGATAAAAGGGGGAAATTGTTTTAATTGAATTGACCTGAACGTAAATTTCTCAATGTATTATTGGTAGTAATTTGATTGATGGTTTATCTTTCGTGAAGTTTTTTAAAATGTATATGTGTGTTGAATAGCAGCACTATTTTCACTGTTCGTCAGGTATTTGAAGAGTAGGATTTTGATTTGAAAGTTATATAACGGAAAGGAATTTAATTTATTAGATATATAAGGGGGGATTCACAAGATTTGTGACACAAAAGACTTACAGGGCGTATGACGGGTGCAAATAGTTTGTTTTACTTAATGCACGGCAGATTTAAACAATACTTAATATATCTACTTTTTATAAATTGTATTGATGTTAAAATCGACAAGATGCCAAAACAAAGAATGTATTACATGTGCTTCTGACAACATAAAAATGTAGGACATATCGGATAAGGTCGGTCGCTATACTCAGCCTTATCAGTATACTAGCTGGGCGTTTGAGTTAAAGTGAAAGTGAGTTTATGCAAATAGTGTAACATTTAGTAAATATCAGTGCCAGTGGTGTTCATGTTGTCTATTGTACTGATTTACGGGTACGTCTATTCGATGTCCCTTAAAATACAACAAATTCATGTATAGTTTTCACAATGGAAAACCCGTCCTCCTTTCTTCAGGGGGTCTGCAAATGTGTTTAATTATTTAAACTTAAGAAAGTGGCTTACTGTTACGCCAGACATATTCGGCAGACATATGACCCTATATATAAATCGTCCTTCTAACTCTTGTTACAGATATGAAAAGGACGAATCACCGAAAAAAAGACATGCCTCAAGTTTGACGCCAACTATTAATGATAAATTGTTA